ATCGACTACATTACTTATTTTTCGTATATAAGTAGATTTTCTAGACTTCGAGATCGAAACTGCAGTCCACTCTGAATGAGAACGACTTTTGTGAAAGCAAGGCTCTGTGAAATTTAACGAAATCCTCAGCTCTACTCATCATCTTAAACGAAATAGGGTGACTACATCTCATATAACTGATTTACTGGTAGTCTTGAAATTATACTTATCTACGAAGCATATGCTATTTAACATTTTCCTCTGATATTACTGTATAGTTTGTCAGGAAAAGTCAGGGACTTAACCCTTTCAATCTTTTACAGTTTTCTAAAGGTTAAACTAACCTTTAAATTTAAACTACCTGGCCTCTTGTTCAAATCGAATATAAACATTTTAGTAATGCCTTGCTTGATTTATTAATTCTCTATGCATAAGTTCATATTGAAACCTCCATTTTAACTTGCTATTGTCTTTTTATTCTTATTTTGATTTTTTTTCTCATATATTTATACGGTCTACTATCTTGTTTTAGACTTTCAATCGCTCAGCATTGTTGGAGGCCGCCAGTCGTGTGGGTGATGCTAGTAGGTCCTTGCTCTATCTGGTCGCTAGCACGGCTGTTCCATTGGGCTCTTCAACCTCGACTCACCTAAATCAGGCTAACCAGGGCATGGTCTCGTCCTTTTCTACGGCAGCTCCAGGCGAAACCAATGGCTTTGGAGATGCAGGAGGCGAATTTGTGGGCCCGATCAACCCTGAACACCTTGCTGGTGACCGCATGCTAGCAGCTACAAGGGTATACTTTTTTAGTCTGCCGATGAATTCATTAGCTCTAGGCGGATCTATGGCATAAATGTCATTTATATTCCCCTTTAAACAAAGATATCACAAAAGTAATTTGATCTAGTTTTCGTAATTTAGTCGTTTTATCAGGACGATCCGATTGAATGCACCTTCTCCAGAGTCCTCTGCTATGATAGCTATAACAAGTGCCAGTGTCATACTGTGTAATTTGTAGGTTCCCAGACGCTTCGCCGGCATCGCCAGTTAGCCTTGTCACTCTTAGCACCCAGATACAGTTCGTCAAAGGGGCAAGTGACGTTCATCCCCTAGCTAACTTTCTGCCGAACGGTTGTGAGGAGAAGTATACTACGAGACAGAATCACGTAATGTTTACGAAAGAAGAACCCAACTATGAGCACTACACGACATTCTTAAGTAAATGCATAATAACGGAGAAATCGAGAGATGAATGATGAATTGACCATTAAGAAAAGGTCTACGACCACAGGTAGCCTACGTATTACTGAAGCTACACAAATACAGGAAACAGTTAAGGCTGGAAGCCAAAGACAAGTATGGAGAAATTCGCAAACTGGCGACGTTTTATGCTTGAAACTAACACAGTGACCCTTCTCAAAGGATAAAAACTTGAGACTGGAAGTAACTATTATTGTTAAGTTTTGATGTTGAGTGTTTATACACAAACACCGGATGAAAGGTATTAACCGCCCTGTTGAAGTGATTGGCGCTAAGATTAATACCGCCAGCAGATAGTTTTTGCTATATCAGTTATAAAAGTTTTGCAGTTTTTCGCTCCTTTGCATTCTTATTGGCTTCGGTTTAATCTGAGTAATTCGGAAAAGGGATCGCATCGTGAAGCGCCAGAAATAGAGATCAATGCCACATTGAGTCAAGCATTTGATAAAATGCTAATGAAACCAGCCGACCTGATCACTTCAGACTGGAATATGTTGCCAGCAAGGTCCGTAAACTTCACTCGAACGTACACTCGAAGATAGGAAAACCGACATTTTATCAGACTCACTTTTATCTTTTGCCAATTAACAAAGTAGTCATGCCCATATCTGCCTAGTGCTTTTGAAACTAGAAGTGCTTTTTTAAAAGCCGAACTTCTAAACAAGGAATGCAGCTATTCTCTCGGGTTGGAGGCAAGCACGATCTTTTGGCTAAAACTCATGTTTGATAATACAATTCACCTTTAATGTTAAAATATGTGTTATGAATGATAAAGTTCGTCAATTTTATTATTGACTTCTTGATTAACATATTTCCTAATATTGGTGTTGGTTTGATCTTTCTATCTGATGTCGACCTCCATCAATGCTTCTCTAAGAAGGTCCATACAAACTGTTTATCTCGTTGCCGTTACATGATTTTGAAAGATCCTTGACTCCATCCATCCTTACCAACATTCGGATAATAAATTATCTGCATGCATCTCATTTGAAATAGAACGGTCCCACAAGTTTGCTTAAGACATATTCAACCAAGAAGAATCGTAAGTCACAACAGTTCCGTGAAGCTTGATAGTTCAGCTTATTTGTTGTAAATTTTATTCCAGGAGCTATCTTTACTCATAAATCTGGTTTTCGCTAGACCTAAGATGATCT